GCATGCCTAAATAATAATGCAGACAATCCTAACTGCACCAAAAAAAACCCCAAACCAACAAAACCAACAATGTAGTTTTACTGCTTCAAAAGAAACAATTGGAGGTAAGATGATCAAGAAGTAGAAAACTGGAGTAACCAAAGGGTTAAAGATACAGTTTACACTTGGGAATTCTCTATAGTATGCTCCTCCTTCCCCAGCAGTGCTGCCAAAAATCATCTGACAGGAAACGTAAGATTAAGTTTGTCCTACCTAAGTGAACAAAGAGTGCTCAGAACAGGCAACCAGTTTACTACAGAGCGGGAACTCTTCTAATCCTGCTGGAATCTGCAGTGCTGCTCAGAAAATATTACTGTTTTCCTTACTTTAACATCTTGCTTCTGGATCATCTCACTCATTTTGGTCACACTGCAGTTCTTGCTGCTTCTCCCATAAAGGTTAACTTAAAGCTCCAAACATAATCATGTGGAAAATGGACATTATTGATTCCTATGGTCCATTGTTCCCCCATTCTAAGTCCCTGAAGTTCAAGTTCAATCTGGAATTACATCATGTCTGGTTTCTCCTGGTTACCAGACGGCTTGAGACGTGACCACAGCTACAGAAAAAACAAACAGCCTTCTTCACGCTTCGGCTCCTCTATCGATTCAAACATAAACTTTCTTTCTTTCTCTCAAGTATGCTTCAAGTATGGAGCATGGTTAATTTAGAGATTAAGTTCCAAATTAGATTATCTAATGGCATCTTAATGGATTGCTGACCCATTTCCTGTGGGATGGCAGCATGCAAGTCTGGCTTGAATACAATTAATTTCTTAGGAAGTGTTCTGAAGATGTTTGTCTAGATGGAGAGGAAACATAATGTTCTGCACATCTTTCTGCATTACAGAGTTGGGCAAAACTATTGGAGTTAGCAATTTAAATTGATAAAGACCAGAAATCATTAGGTTTTCTTTCTATGAATACTTTTACAATGAGGATACTTTAGTGTTTTTGTTCTTAAATTGTAATGAATTGATACTTCTATTCCAACACATTGCCCAAGGGGATTGGGGCTGGGGGGGGGCGGAGGGTATGAACCATTACTCTAACAGGTGTCTGTGTTTGCCAAAATCTGCTTGCCACAGCAATGCTGCTGACTGTGCTACTTTAGCTCTGTGTTTGCTCAATACCAAACACACACAAGGTACAAAAGCAATCTGCACCCATTCTCAAGTCTCCTCCTACTTCTTTCACAAATCAGAGATTATCGCATTTGATTGCCTTATCAGCATTACTATCATAAACCTGGAGTAGTGCTGGGGGGGAAAATGATGTTTGGAAAGCTGAACACCACTACAGCTAGAGCTGAGAAGGAAATTCAGCACTCTGAGAACAGAGATCCCTTCAGCATCTCCAGTAACAAACCAAGAAACCAGCTGTTTTACTATGCTTATGTATCAAGATAACAAACTGAAAGCAGGAAATGTTCACCTAGTGCATTTGCCTGGGTAGTGTAAATGTAATCTTAAAGTAACAGTTAAGCAGTAAAACTAACGCAGAAAGATTGTTAAAAAAAAGAATATAAATAACAACAGTCGAGAATAAAAATATATTTGGCAATAGCTGAGTTAAAATGAACACTTTGGCAATGAAAACTTGCTTAGTCTGTGAAAGACTTGCAAATACTCAACATGCTTTAAAAGAGACCCATCATGCCAGCTTTTATGAGTGGTCGCACTGGAATTAATACCAATGGCATAATGAGTCGCTGAGATTCAGGCTCAAGCTCATGTTATCAGACTTACATACACACACACTTTTTCTCACTCTCACTCATGTCTTAAGTTTACTTGTTGCATATGCTCTTGCTCTCATGTAGCAACTGAGACTGTATTTTCCTAATTAAGCTTTACAGATTTTCACAGCTTCCCCTCACCTTCTGTCTCTAGGAAAACAGTTATTATCACAGAACTGTGGTTATGAAAAAAGAAGGTGTTGGGGGTTTTTTTAAGGGATTCTGAGTATCTTCTTCATATGTACTACAAAAAATTGACCTAAATGATCTTAAAAGTACTTGAGAACTTAATTCTATTGATGTGCTTAAATGTTGTTCAAAGTTCAGCAGACATAATAAAATACATACTATAAATGCTGTAAGTAAGCAACAACAACAACAAAAAAAGTAGATGGTTGGGTATCAGGACCAAAATAAAAATTAATACATCCAAATACCTTACCAAATATCTGAGTTTTTTTCTATTTTTTTTAGGATGCTTACAGGATGTTTTATATAAGTATTTCCTTTAAAGATACTAGAATGTTTCATTCAGCTAAGCAAAGTATTAATCTAGTTTTTCTTATTACTATTCCCTGCAAGTCTTCTGGTTTTGGAGAAAATGATGCATCAATGATGTAAAGTTTTGTGGTTTGGGTTTGTTTTGTTTTGTTGTTTTTTTTGTCTTGTATTCATATTCTCTTTTTTTTGCGAAGTTCAGTTTTTTGCATATGGACCACTACTGTCTTACACCTGGGACTTTAAATGCCAACAGATACATAATTTTATAAGGAAAGAAAAACACAGAAAATGTATTTTGTATGTATCATATCTACTATCAGGTATGACAGGCAGCTACTAATAAGACAAAGAACACAGAAATAACAGAGGTTTTATCATCATTCACTCTCAGTGTCCAAGGTGTGGTTCACCAACAATGCTCCATGACAAAGCTTTCAGCTTGGCCACCTCTGCTACCTGATTTCTGTAGAGACAGGACAGCTAACATTGAGGCACTGCCAACTCTTTTACCTTCTTGAGGTCAATGATATTTCTGAAAAATCAGTATACTTAAAATAACCACAAAAGCCTGCTGTAAAAGATCAGATTGAGTACCATCAAAATGAGCACTGGAGATTTGAGGAAATCACAAAATCAAACATTTATCAAACCATTTTGTGGGGGGAAATTTGACTGTCTGGACTAGAATATATTTCTTTGCCAACGAGCAACAATTTCTTTTGCAATACATTCTTTTTTTCAGTGTTGGTTTTAGTGTTAGACGGGCTCACTGCTCCTTAGTCTGCGTACGTATCATTTCTCTTAGATCCTCACCTACATGGGATTTGAAAAATGTTACATTCCGAAGCTCAAATCCTAAAAGCCATCTACGTAGGGAGAACTAACAGTTTGTTTCTTTGTCCTCCAAGGTTGTGCTTAATTCAATGCCAAGTAAGCATAGCCTAGGCCTGTAAAGAGATGCCCATGGCAGAATTTGTGCCCAAGCTCATCTGGCAGCACTTTTGTATGTTGGTAGGGTCAAAGTGGCAGGCAGCACTCTGGGAGCGACCTGCAAGGCGGTTTTGTCTGTAAAGGTGAGTGGATCATGGAGCGTGCTTGTATTCATCACCAAAGTTTCCTTGGTCATCGCCTAGAAATCTTTTTCCCCCTTTCCGTTCTTTTCATAATTTATGCCCAAGGGTCTTGTGTGATGGGTACTGAAAAACAGAATTCAGCAAACACTGGGACAGTGCTTCAGCCGGTATAAACTGGCATTGCTTTAAAAGGGGCTCAAGTGATGACTGATTAAAACCATTCAAGGATATTCCTAGATAGGCAGTTGTGATATAATTTCCCAACACCTGTCAATGCCCTGAAAAAGCAATACCCTTTTTAGTGGGAGAATAAATCACCCCCTCTGTGCTATACTAGCTCAGTTTGGATTCACTCCTGGCAGTACATTGAAAACTGTGGCAATTACTGCATGATGGGGATTTATAATGTGAATCACAGCCCTTGAGGAGATGAGGTGAATCCATTAGCTAATTTTCCATTGTGCCATTTAATCTCTAAGGGAAGAAATGACAACACTTTGCTTTTCCACCACAACTCTTCCAGATTTTAAATATTATTTCAGGAAAATTGCAAAAAGGAAAAGTAAAGCAAAAATATTCAAGGCATTTAAGTTTCAGATTTGTAAACAGCACCAATTTTCAAATTCCATAATTACCCTTCCAAGTTGATACTCAAAAACCTCAAACCTTCTAGCAACGCATAGTGCAATACAGTGCATCAAAAGACATTTTGTACATAATACATATAAACACTCACAGTCACACACATACTTACATAAACTATTCAGAAGTACGCATACTTTTATGTGCACACAAATTTCCAAGAAGTATTTAAAATTATTTCAAGAGTGAGTAGCTAATATGTCATCTGACGGGCTCCCAACCCGCAGGCTTTGCATGTACAACCCCCATTAAGCGTTGCAGATAATCCTGCACATGAAAGAGGTGAAAGACTGATGTATCACAATTATGCTGATTTGTTTATACACCTATTTAGACACACACACCTCTACTGTTACCATAATTCATTATATACCAAGAGATGTAAAAGATAATAATGAGTAATTTATTAATTACCAAGGGTTAATGGGTTTTACTGTGTTTGCCTTTTTTTCATGCAAAAAGAAACTCTCTTTTGTGTAAATCACTCCTAATTATTCTGTTATTTAATTGAGAAATAAGATGGTTTATATCTTACCTTCATGTATATGTTAGTGACCTAAATCTACACCAGCCAATTAGTCAGAAGTCTCCATGAATAGTATGGTTATTCATTGTCCAAAACCACCACCACCTCAGACATTTATTATCATACTCATCTATACCTCTAACAGCACCATTTTCTTTGTGTTAACCACTAAGCCCCCCAAAATATGACCTTTAATTCTGCAAACGACATTTTCATTTTTAAAGCCTAAGATCAGTATTCCCTTAAATTTACAAACCCTTTGCATTTGACAGCACAGTATTGTCATTCCAGGTGCTTAATTAAGGTAGTTTCTAAATTCAGCTTACACTAAAGATAACCTGAATGCGTGTGGGAGAAATGTTACACATGGGTTTTGATCAAATGCTGCCACATATCCCTCTGCAGGCCCACTAAAACAGATACTGTAGCTCAATGCAACTTTTTTAGAGGTGGTGTAGGGGTGGAAATAATTAAAATGTTACCTTTGCCAAGTAATTCCCAATGTATCCTCACTGGCACTGGGGTATAAATGCCTGCCGTTTTGATTCATGGTCCAGTCACAAATTCTCAGCTGTCAATTGAAACCTAGCAGTCAGATATGGATCGAGCAGTACTACAGTTTTTAGTATTAAATGAACACATGCAAACTAGTACTGTACATGGCAAAAGCCTTACTTTCCCAAGAAGTAACTTTAAAAAATAAAACAAACAAACAAAGAAAAATAACTTATTCTGAGAAATAAATGCCTATAGATTTGTTTAAGATAATGCTACTTTAATACGCTCCTCTATTAATAAAGCATAAAAGAGTAACTAGTGTTTAGCACATAACAATTAGCCATTATTAGATTATAAACTGAGCTGGAATAAAAGGAAATGTTAATATTCAATAGCAAGATACTTTAAGAAAGGAAATAAAAATGCTGTTTTCTCTAAGTAATGCTCTATATAATGTGTATTAAGTAAAGGTCAAATATAATCAATATCTTGTAGCATGCATTTCATGAAACACAGAAGACATGCAATTTATAGAAAATTTGCCCAAATTAAACAAACTGTATGTCCTTATCTTGCTATTTAAGAAGGGTAAAGGTATTTTGTAATTGAATTTTATTAATCTAGTGTTACTGAAAGTGGTATTACTTAGCAAGAGGTGATAAAATAATCTAATCTTGCTTTAGACTCAGAATAATAGCATTTAAAATACTTTATTGCATTTTAATATAATGAGGAATGTACTAAATGTTAGCTGAAACAAATTCTTCCCAGATCCTCAAATCATCAGTTCTGCCTTCACGGATTGTTCAAGCAACCGTCTATAGCTCTGTTTATTTAACAGCTGCCCTATAGTGTTAGCAGATTTATTGAAAAGATATACTGCTTATTTTTAAGTTTAAGAAAGCGAACTTATCATCTGGCTTGTGAAGAAAACATACATTTTAACCTCTGTATAGTCATGCTGTATATAAATTGCTGTAGCATTATATATGATACAGTACTCTGAAGATAATGTTGTTGCTCAGTTTAATTGCATTTGATGCATTTTAGTTTTCTCTATCCGTATTCACAGTCTTTAGATAGCACAGGCTACAGCAAACAAACTGCAATAAACTATTTTCACAGGAGCACAATTAATTGCAGTCCTTTCCTGAAAAATACAAATGCTGAGGACAAGACAATATTGCAAACCTGACCCTGTCTGGCTGTTAGACTCATAAGCTTCCTGCTGTTAAGGTCTGAGAAATGGAAATGTTAGTCTCTGATGTTTTCATAGGGATTGTTTCTTGTTTGTTATCTAAAGAACTCTAAGGGACCTTCTAAAGGCCATTAAAAGCATGACTAAACCACATGAAATTAACCAGAAAAGGAAACATGCAGTCAAAAAGTTTGCTAGGGGTAACTGTGAATAATACATTAAATATGTTTAAAGAAAGGGCTAAGTAAATATTTGGTTTAGTCACTATATAAAACCGTATTGTAAACCTGATTTTAATATTGAAGACATAGTAAAATATGTCAGCTCAGTTACTCAATGTACAGTAAATGTATTTCTGCTATAATCCTTAAGAATGTCATCTTCATTACAGATGCATATTTTAAAGCTTTATAACTTAGCTATAAAAACTCACTTCCAGCTGAAACACAAGACTGAAAGGTTAAACCCCACCTCTTTTCTTCTTTCACAAAATATAAAATCTACGAATAAAAGCCCTTTGGCTGATTAGAACCATAAAAAATAATAAAATCACAAACTTAGTGTTACCAAATGATTTTATGCACTTAGGTCTAGCTCAAAAATCTGGCAAGCACTTAGCTTGCTATGGAACCTGATTGCATTTGCTATTTGGGGAAAACAGTAAGGGATTGATACATTACATTTTAGTAAATCAGCTTCGGCACTAAATCATTATATTCTTCCCACAGTCTGTATGAAAACTTTCCACGTGTACAGTTAATGTGTTAAATTTATCATTAAGAAAGCTCCAAAAAGAGCTTTTCAAGCATATTTCATAAATGTTGGTAATGACATACTTCCTATTATATATAGTCATATATACCTCAATACATATACATCTAAATACTGTAATGGTAATAATAGAACATGTGCATTTTTTATTTGTGCTGTAGACACATACACACGTGTATATGAAGATTCATGCTACACCAGACTTATAGTTAGTGTAAACTGTAGTGCTATTCACTGCACCAACTGTGCCATACTTGCGGTACTGACACCACCTTGAAGAACTGCAGGTCTGTATGACAACGGGTTCTGCGATAAGCCCAGGACTGCACCAGCTGTGCTGAAAACCACCTTCCCAATGTTAAAAACTATTGCTCCACACTCCTCAGCAAGCTCACAGAGCTGCCATGTTGTCTTTAAAAACTAACCTGCCAGGCAATGTTTTTTGTCTCCCTCACATAAAATTTCCTCTCCCAAATCACTCCTGCTTAGAGATCAGGATGTCTAAGATTTAGAAATGTACTTCTGAAAGTATTGAGAAATATCACTTTCAAAGTCTGCATCTGCATCCCTCACGTGTGTTGAGTGCTTTCTGGGTAAAAAGGCTGGAGAAGCTTTAAAAAAGCCCTGGCTCTATTTGGTAGAAGAAGAAATCTTTTCACAGCAGCAGCAGGAGGACATTCACAGCCCTTGGAGGATGTCCAGACAGCCCAGTAGGGAAAGCCTGGGGGCACAGACCTGACATGAGTACCAAGCTTTGGAAGGATGTAGGGCACTTTAGTACAATATTTTGAGTGCTGTATGTTGTCTGGATTCATGCTGAAAGCTTTCTGGCTAGTTCTAGTCCTCAGAGTAACTTAAGTGACCTCTAAAATCATGCCACAGTGTTAGCTGGAGACGAGAAGGCACATTGACTCTCACCCACAGTAAGCCACCTAAAAGTTTCTCTGCAGGACATGTGAAAGGGAGAGGCAGGAAACTACTGAAGGCTACTTGAGAAAACTTAAATTCCTCAGTAGATGGACTTAAGAAATAGACATCATGAGACATTTAATAAATGCTGAAAAACATTACTAACTTTCTCAAAAATATGCTATGAATGCAAAATAAATTATTGGCATGATTTGGCATGTGGCATGGTGAAAAGTCTTTCCTAGAAGCCTGTTGGACAGGCCTGCTCCTCAGTCCCACGGCTTTGTCGTTTTCAGCAAGGCAAGCCACATGAACACCACTTCAATAACGCTTTCCATCCACGAAACATTATCAATGATTTTTTTATTTATGTCTCACCTAACCACACAGAAAAAGAACATGGGTCTGTATTCTGAAGTGGAAAAGGATGCCCAGCCTTGCAGCAGGTGGGGAAACCTCACAGGCAGCACAGCCATTTCCTGACACGAGGAGCTGCAGAGGTCTCTCATCCCTGCGACACATCGTCACTCATGAAGTAGCAGAGAGTACAAAGCCCACTGCAAGTGCTTCTCCAGGGAGGCAGTGCAACTCTCTCACCCACCTCAGCTGCGTCATGGGAAGAGGCCACAGGCCCAGGCAGAAGCAGAGGAGTAGACTGAGTGCTTTTCCTAACTCTTCCACTTGCCTGAAAGTCATCCACCTCCCTGCTCCTGTTCTGCCCTTTCTAAAGTGCCAGGAAGGTGATTTTGGTTTGCACTTTCCAGTGGTGTGAGACCTACTGATGTGAAGTTCTACCCAAGAGCTAGATTTCACTATAGGTGGCTTTTCAGTTTAAACTGGGCATCTTCCAAGCACAACCATCCTGCAGAGTTTTAAGTATACAAATCCTACATACATTAAAAACCCATAGTCAACAGCTCAATCGTTAATCAAAGTCTGAATAATTTTTATGGGTTAATATTTAAGCAGGTTTTGTATTCTCCTATTTAAAGAGTGGCTGTCTAAGACTAACATTCATTTCAAGCTTCTGTGATTGCTAGTGAAAGTAGACGTGTATTTTGGAAAGTCTAATAGGAGACTATGCTATAGCTTCTGTTAGTTGAGAAAAGCCTATAAAACTCAACATTTGCATATTGTCATTGTCTTGACTGAAACTTCCTGTAAATGTTTTTCCTTTCCAGCAAGCATACGTGAAAGGTGACCTCTTATCCATTTACATACCTCCCTGGTGGTCATGTGACCCAGTTTTACATCAAACTGTCAATTATGATAAGGGACACAATAAGAACAGCCTAAGTGTTGATAATCTGTTTCCTGGCTTTACTGAGAAGTTCTGTTTAAGAGTCCACTTGTGTTCTTCTTTCAGCCCTCTGCTGAAAGCAAAAGCAACATCCACCCAAAACATTTTGCAAACAGACACTGTGTGTTCAGTGGACATTTAAGTTTACAATTTCCATGATGAATACTATGAAGAGAATTCCATTTTGAACTGTGTGATTTGGTAACCAAAGGATGCATCTGGAAAGAACAACTTCCTACCAAAGAGGCAGGGCAGTCTGGTGTGTAGGAAATAAAAAGCTATCTACAGTTTTCTGACTTTGCATTTTGGAGACCTGAAGAGTTTCTTATTACTACATACATGGCAAATGTCTCACTCATAAATGTCAAATCTGTGTGAAAATCATGCATACCATACACCACACTCAGAAAGTCCAAGCTTTAGTGAAAACCATGCCATTGTATTAATCAGTGCAAAGATTGGAAGAGTTCACTAGCTCCTCAGTAATTGGGCCAGCATTTGTTAGCACAGTTTACTGTAACAGACAGGAAAGTTCTAGAGGTCATTGTCTTCACAGACCTCAATAACTATCCCATTTATTTATATTTTCTAATTTTAAAAAAAATCACCCATACAAAGCTCCAAGGTACATTAAAATTAAATAAACGGCCAAGAAAGAAAACCCGTCAGTTATTTCATTCACTCCAACAGAAATCTTATTATTTGTGAAACCATTAATTTGTATTTGCAATAAATATACATGTCTATCTATCCATCCATCCATCTGTCTTTTTATATTGTTTATACAGGTAAAGTGCATGACTAGTATTTCTGGCAACATTCTAGCTTTATAGCCAGAAACAACATCAACCTGTCTCTACGTGTCTATCATTTCAAGAATATAATAAATTCATGAAGTTGAGAACAGTAACACAAGGAGGCTACAGAAATGCCATCACATAACCATAAGAATTCTGATCATTAAGGCTTTGTTACTGAACTAAAGATCTCTCCATTAAAATTATTTAGCCAAAAGAATGCAGACACAGCTAGAACCTGGCAAGGGACTGTGTCCACTTGTAGAAGACTGAATTTGACTGAGTTTCCTCGATTTGTTGCTTTTTTCCTCTAGCCTAGGCTTAGAAACCACAAATCTTCAGCAGATGCAAATCAGAGAAAGAAGGGGGGGAAAAGGTGTTCCCATATAATTGTGAAGATAAACCAACCTTTCTTTTATGTGCAATTCATGTAAGATGTTTCTCAGCACAGACAATGAGCACCAAGTACTACATTTGACTTCATAAAATAATCCCACCAACCACCAACAGTAAAATTAAGAAAAACTCTCTCACTTAGGTACTAGCTCTTATCACTTCCTTTGCCCCTTCCTATGGTGCCCTCCCTGCAGTTACATTATCAATACTTAACAACTCTCAGAAGCTGATGCTGAATCAAGAAAAGCAAACCAAGTGGTCATTAACAATTTGTAATGGACAGTTGGAGGGGCTGACATGACTTTTTTACAACAAAATTGTAAGATACATGTGACTCTCTAGATGCCACTGAAGCAAGAGATATATTTTGTAACTATTCATGTCACAGTATAGAAATACGTGGCATTTCAAGGCAGATAAGAGGAAGACCCACCAGCAATTGCAGCAGGAAGTGGACTGCATAGTTATAATTCCTCCTTTTCTTCCTATTAGCGTAGCATGCTAAGTAATGCATGTAACAGCATATTTTTCACAGTATCCAGATCAGTAAAAGCAAGTAAACTGCTCCCATTGGTGCTATTATGCACTGTCTTTCAAAGTTGTATTCAGTGCTTCCCATCTAAATGTGAGTATTCCAGGTAGGTTGTGCTACAAATTGTTTACTGGAAGTTCTAGCAAAGTATCACTTTGTCAAAAGAGTTATGTAAGTGTGTGTTGCAAAATACATGTCTAACTTTTAAATTTATTGTGGTTACTGTAATTTAAACAGGCTACATAATGGTTCTTTTTAACAACAAAAAGTACTCAACAGTACATGCCAATATTTCTCATAACCAGAGAGAATAAATCTTCATAAAGACTCCTCCAATGAAGTAAAAAATGCACTGGTGACAATATTTATTTTTCAAGGGTCAGTGTGCACTACAGGGTATGGTGAATGTTTAAAAGACCTCTCTGGAACTAAAACCATTGGCTTTCTAATTTAGAATTTCTTTCCGCTAATACAAAATGATTGATTGCCTTTATTTCATGTATCTCTTGATTTTTCTTTTCATTCATCATGGGCTGCTTTAAACAAAATGCATTTAAAATCTGCCGCAAGAAGAGTGGTCTCTTTTAAATTGTTGTAAAGTAATGAAAGGACACAGTAAATCAATCTCATTTCTGCCTTACGAAAGGATAACCTTTGCTCTATTAAAGTTGTTTAGACAATCTCAGTGCTCTACCTCACTTTCTGGGTAATAAACATATATGGCACTGTAATCTCAGAGATGCCTTTAGGATTTAAGTGAGTGATGCTAACTAATTCATTAGAAACTTATATATACGCACATATATTTGTATTGATCCAGCTGAAAAAGCTTTGTTGTTAAAGTATTCTGTTCTTTCAAATGGTTTCAGCAGTACATACTATTCCCTAATTTTGTACATATTTATATGTATAAGCATCCACACACGCACCCCCCCGAACACACTTAGGCAAGCATACACATATATCCATTGAATAAGTTAGAAAAGAATAGAGAATTCACAGCAAAGATGAAACCATGACACGATTTTTAAATTTACTATATGGCTCACTGATCACCAATTGATGCTCTTGAATTAATATAACGAGACTATGAAGCAATATACTTTAGAAGGGAGAACATTGGTTTCACACAGTGGCATTAAAGAATTTTTCTGTTTATGAAGTGTATGTGAGATCTAATTTATTTTCCCCTTCCCCCTAAGCCATGTGGCCACAGGTTTTACCATGAAAGGGAGTATAAGACACAGTGCATGTAAACACCAAAGACTGTGATGACCCTTGAGATCCCTCTCACTTTTATGTTCCTGTGACACTGCTGAAACCTCCAAATTTACTTCCATCTACACAAAGCAAAAAATATATAGAAGATGCATGAATTAAACAATATATAATTTACATGTCATAAACTCAGCCAAGAGAAAATTAAGCATGCTGCCACTGCCTTCTGGCATGTGACAAGAAGTTTGTAACCCTTTCAATGAACTTGGAAGAAGGTGGAGTGGGCTTAAGCAGTAGCAAATTTGCAGAAAAAATTGTGTCTAAAAACATGTAGTGAAAAAAAAAAAATTATTGTACATCCCCAAATTTACAGGATGTCAGAGACTTTTCAAAGGATACTATGTAAAACTTCACATGAAAAGAAATCCAGAAATTACATGCACTGTGTTTAAAAAGAGAGACGTTGTGTGTGTTTTCAAATACAATAAACATACACTGTATATCTTTTAAAAAGAACCATGTTATAGTAATTATAACACATTTCATAATACAACAATCTTTGAGAGGTTAAAAAAAAAAAAAAGCAATACACCAGAAAATTTACTGAAAAATGAATGGTTGGCAAAACCACTAATTGTCATTTGGTATTTTCATAAAAGTGTACAGATGTTTCCAGTTAGGTCGCACTGGTTAAAAAAAAGTTGGCAAAGCATCAACTATCTTGAATAAATGATCATCTTTATGATTTTCTCTGAACTCTGCATGTGGTGACCTTTAAAACGGACATACTGCCACCTTGCCCTGGGAGTGGGTAGGGATAGGGAGTTCCAGATGAAGCACACTGCAGCTATATCTCAGCAAACACAGAACAGGTAGGTATTACTGAAAAATGAAACAGGCATGTGTACCAACTGTTGACAGGAACCCAAGCCTGAGAAAAAAATACAGTACAATAAATACCAGGGACTATTTAACAGCCCTTTTCTTACTGCCACATTCAGCTTTTTTTCTTGTAACATTTTACATGCTGTTAATTTCAAAGTCCTCTACTGTTAAGATCTAGGAGCAACACAAACACACATCATAAAATGTTAAAGTTCTAAAGGGTCTGAATTTGTTCCTGTTACTAGCGATGTAGCATTTCGGTATATGCATGGCCTTGCTACTGACTGCAGCTAATTTGTTTGTAAGCCATCATTAATCTCGGCTGTATATTTTCACAGTTTGGGTAAACACTTCATTTGCATTAAATTTACAGCATTAATGAGATGTGAAATTTAAAATGCTACTTGAAACATAAATGCTGTAAGAAACTAGAACAAAAACGTGGTTTTATCACGTTTGAAATCAGCAGACCAATTTAAACCTATTAAACTAGAAATGATGATGTGTTGCATTGAGAATTTGGTTTTATAACTCATCTTCTAGAACTAAACTGAAGAAATGTAGGCTTAAACATCTGGGGGAAAAAATAGCTTGAAAATAATAAGTTGTACTTTTTGTTTTGGAAATTTTATTTTTTAAACTGATTTTGAAATGAGAATTTGTTCTTTATACACCTCATTCTCTTTCCTAAAATCCTATTAAAGATTACATATATGTGCTATTGAAAAATAAAATAATTGAAAGAAATATGATTAGAAGTTCCTTAAGATGGCACAAATCTAAGAAATAAAAAATATGCTAAATTGATGTTTCTTAAAGGGTTCAGTTTTATTTTGAATAAACTTCATCTTCAGATGACGAATACTGAAACCCTTAGGACCCCAGTCTAATCCAAGGTAACAGTGGCAGCACGTAGGAAGGTAATATTGCGAAAGCTTCTCTATATCATTACACCTATGTGAAACTTGCCCACCTGTTGCTGGTGTAGGAAGGATGGGTCTCTTGGGCTTAGTCCCACATATCGATTGGCCTGGGATGTGCCTGAGGCTGTGTAGGCTGATTAAGGAAGAACAAAACAGATTGATAAAAATACCAACCTATCATAACTATTACCCTGCGCGGGTACAGTACAAATATGAGAGATCCAGAGTTATGATTTTGCAATATATAGGATGTGTCTGTGTTTTTCCTTTATTAAAACTTTAATAGAAAGCAAAAGAAAAATTGGACCAAATTTGGAAAGACGTGTAAATTCCTATAAACTTCAATGGAAGCTGCATGTGTAAATCACAATGATGTCTCTTGTTAAATAAAAGTTCCTCTGATTAATATATATATATTTTTTTTTAAGTGATTAAATAAGGTATGTATTTGAAGGAATCAAGAGCCTGATTCTCGTTTCCATTACACCAATCTAAGGCACCAGTGAAACCACTGAGATTACAACATTATGAGAAAATATTAGTGCACACATTATTCTTACTGCTGTGAAGGCCCATCACAAAACTGTAAAAGAACAACAAAAATTGGAATGAAAAGTTCAGTTTACTTATGTGGCATGAAATGAATCTTTACAGGCCTTTGGAATCAGGATGTAATCTGATTAGTATTTTCATGAGAAGGGAGCTAACTTTTACTGCGCAATATAATATTAAATATTCAACTCCCCTATGCATCAGAAAACATTTTCCCAGGGAGACAATTTAAGGAAGTTTCTTGCTGTCTGCTACAGAAGATTAAAGAAATCCATTTCTCAGGAGAAAGGGAATGGTAGGTGATGCTGGGATTAGTTACAGGATATGGATCCTTCACCCGTAGGTCACATTCCTGTCTGGTCTCTGTCACAGTAATCCCTAAAAACCATTACCCTCTCATGACTTTTGGTGGCACTTATGAAATGAGGTAGGTGGTCTTACTCTACTTCCCAGTGTGGAGATGTCCGCACTGCAACTTGAAGCATCACAACCTGGAAACTTGCTGGCAGACAAAGCAAAACTACTAATATTGAACAGACACACACAAGGATGCCAGTGAGGAGCTAGATGGGAGTACTTACTGAATTGGCCTGTTGGTATTAAAGTCACACAGCAAATACAAGCAAATGAAATTTATTACATTTTTTTTAAAAAAAGGCTTTATACAGTAAACAGGCTTTACTGAAAAACTGTCATAAAAATTAATCGGTTATTAGAAGGAAATTATGGTGGAGGCTACAGGGTTCCCCAAGTACTATCAAAGCCTGCTGTTCTTTCTCATTCAAAACAATTCTGCTATTGCACTTAGAATGAAAAGCAGTGCCAATCATTTGCCATTTTATTCTCATCAGAATGAATAATAAAGATAACTTGTTGGCCAAGCATATGTTTTATATATATTCATATATATTTTGAATCAATCAGTAAGTTATTGCAAATAAAAGTAAATCTATGCCTTAAAATATATTTAGTCTTGATTTTCCCATTAAGTTAACATTAGCACTCTGTGCAGCAGGCCTATTATGACTGATAATACAGTTTATATGTATTCACATATAACTTATATATCAGCAGGACGTGATCCCTCATTTTTTGCTATTTTCTTCATCAACAAGCTATGTTCCTTCACTTTTTTGCTCTTACAGTTACCAATCCAGTTTCAAAAGGCTTTACCAAGCAGATAGACTACTGCACTGCTCTGAAAACCATAACACTCTGAACATGTAGCATTTATATGCTATCTTATATGCAGAACTGGCACATTCAAATAAAATTTGTACATAGGGGTTTTTTTATTATTATTTATGTGCTGTAGTGACAGACATTGGATCTTTAGGCAAGAAGTTACTTGCACACTGCTGTGGAAGCATGAGGAGGCCTTATTTCAATATCTAAGCCGAGATGTTCTAAGGTTCACGGGGAATCAGGTACCCAAGTTCCAATGAATTGCACAAGAAACTGGGTGCCCACTTCATTTGAAAATATAGTCCAAATTTTTCCCTAAATAGTAGGACAATGAACAGATTAGGTTTGCTTTCTTGTAATGATGAAATATGGTCAGATTACCAGAAAACATCCCAATGCAGTTCTGACATTGTATTTGTTCTTTTTGCCATTTGTATTAGAAACCCTGACCTCATCTGAGACAGCTATTTAGGCCAGGCACAATCATGTCAAACAGGAAGCAGAATGAAACCATAAATACTTGAAACTACACATGAATTCAGTTTTCTCAGTTTTCTATTCTGGACCAAAAGTTTAGAGCAACAGCTTCGTGTTTGCTGCTAAAACTAACTATTCTTAAAAGGTGCAAGAACTGTACCACAAACCACCAGGGAGGATACAGATATACTCTACCACCCTTTAACAAAACTTCTGCTATACTAAAAGAACAGCTAAAATACTTCCGTAAATCTATCCATGTAATTGTTTGTTTATACTTAAACAATAGTTCGTCCAAAAGTTACTGCTATCTTTTTATAATAAAGACATAACCAGTTTTCCTCCTTTACATCTTGGCCACTCCTATGCATTTGAGTCTCATCTCTGCTTCACATTCTAATGAAAAGATTTAAAGTAGTATAACACCTAAGAAACAAAGTTTATGGTCTCTGTTAATGACAGACCAAAAGTTAGGGACTGGATTCACAGTTCAAAAACTAAACAGGTCTAAAGCAAGTCATTTTAATGTAACAGACCCTAAAGAGATTAATATTTTTGAAGACTGGTAAGTTTTCTTCCAAAGTGTATGTTTGGAAGTGTCTTCTAAAAATCTTCACCGCTCTGATAAATGCTGGTAACACTGGCCATCTCAAGTTCAAATAAAAGTTCAAAGACAACAGAAACGCAGAAAGTGGTTAAAAAGCAACATTCTGCATCACTGAGCATAAGATGAGTATTTGGAAGAGAAGAAATTACCCTATACATAGTAATACCTTTGCTCTTATTTCCAAAAACCGCAATTCCATTGAAGATAATAGGATAAATAATATGGTCCTATATAGTAATAAAGAGCTTAAGACATTAAAGTTAGGGCTGGGTTTGTTTTTTTTTTTTAAAAAAGAACAGTGGATCTACCATCCATTGTAGCAATGACAAGGAATTAAAATTTTCTTCTGCCACATCAGTTGTTTTTGCTAAAAATGACACAACCTATATCAGCATGCAATTGTCATAGCTCGGATTCAGTATGCGTTGTAACAAGGTTTGATTTCTGTAGGAAAGCTCATTGAGGAGCAAATTATCCAATCTCTCTTTGGAATTCCATCTGCGGGTCATTGTAAAACCTTGCTGTCTGGGTGTGCTTCTCAATGTCTTAACAATGTCCACCTTAGATGAACAACCACGTTTCCTTTTTCTTGAATAGTGGTCAAATATGCAGGCTTTTCCCTTTCATTTGGTTGTCATGTCACAAACTTTGGTTCATGTAACATGATGCTTTGGTTGAAATTTGGGGAGGAAAAGCTTTGCAGTCAGATCACGTTTGCTCTCCATGTAAAATGATGAGCATCCACTTGGTCAAATAGTAGGAAAAGGAGCCTTTTTCTGGCCTCGATTTGAAATCATATGGAATCTTTGATGGACATTTTTTGTTTCCTAAAGAAATACTTACTGGTTGCTGTAGGTGAAGATGCCTCACCTTCAGTGGATGTAGTGATGGGTTTAGTATCTGTCATGGTCAGGGTCACAGGTCGCACCGCACTGTGATGGGGAGAGGGTGCCAAAACTGGAGTAAAATGGCCAGGCACTTTCCCTACTACTTGACCACTGCTGTTAGGCTACAAAACAAAACCAAAAGAATGCCTTGTGAAACATACACATTGTGTTTAAGGAACCTACCCACCTATCTTAGGGATTTCCAGAATGCCCATCACTGCAGTACCTGCGTGTTGGAATGTGCCGTTCTAACAAAGCTATGAATTGCTATGTGGTATTTTTAGCAGGCAGATCCCTCCTCAGATAGGCAGTACAAGCTTAAGTAGCAGTACTTTTTGGTAAGCTTTCTTTCTTTCTGGATGCAGCATGCATCAGATGATTGTTTCAAAATATATTTGCTGTTCATGCAGTGGCTGTGAACCACAGTGAATCCCACGATAGCAGGATTAAACTGACCGGGCATAGGCCCTAATGTACGAAGTATTAAGAGCAAACGAATGATGCAAAACCTCTGTTTTCACATGCCATACCACTCTGGCTTGGAGCATAACCAAGATTTGACCACAGCTGTCCACAGAGATTACGCATACTGGAAGGCTCACTAATAATTCACATGTTTGGGAGTGGGGGAGAGGGTTAGGATACGATGCACTATAATGGATATGTCATAACATCTGGCCAAAAGCCACCTACCAAAAACACAGAAGTGTTTAATAATGGGAACTTTGCAAGTCAAGAGCATAATAAACTAAGACACTTCTTTCATAAGTACAAGAGGCAGTCTGCATATGACCTTATGGTACAGGTCATCAAGGTAATATGCTACTTTCTGCATATAGGCACATCTGAATTTGGCAATGTTCACCAGTAAATGTATATGTTTATCCAATGCTTAAACATGCCTTAGACATTCTGCATGACTGTAAATACTCCAATGGTAAATAACTTGCAGTAAAAATTAATTAGCAAGTATTAAGTTTTTTCAACAGTGGCTGATAACTTTTGTCTTGAACTGATTGTGTGTTCTGTGAATCATAGGTATTTTAAAATACAGCCATAAAGCAACAAATACTGGGAGTCTCATTATCAGAAGGATCTTGTCAAACTTGAGATAATGCAGAGTAAAGAAATGGACTGATAAAGGACCTGATTCAGCTGATACAAGGAAAGGTTAAAAGAGGTAAGCATGACTACGGTAATGAAATAATAACTGGGCTGAGACATTACTGCAAGTATGTGCAGAGTATAAACACACAGAAGAGGAAGGAGTTATTTGGAAAGTACAGGAAGTATAAACTTGGGGTAATGGAATGAAATCGAGAAGGAGGAAATTTAAAATTAATAGCACGAGAAAATTCCTGGCAGTATGATCTACCAGACTTTGCAAATGCCCCCAGGGGAGACTCTTGTTCTTTAGGACATCAAAAACTAAGCTAGAAGAAAACACTAGAAAATATAAGTGCAAATGGAGACCAATCTTGTATTCAAAGGAACATTGAGCAGTTAGCAGACTATTTCCCTCTCTAAAATCACAAGCCTTACAGTGAAAAATAACAGTAAAAATGTACACTAATGAGAAGTGGCCAACAAACTACCCCTCTAAATGAAAAAAAGTCACCCCCTAAACATAACTGTATGTTTGGGGGAGTGTTGGAGTGGGGTGGGGACAGAAGAGCCATGGAATCCCAAGATCTTGCAAATCTAGAAATTGGGTAGTATTCACCACCTTTTCTCTCATGTTGCTAGCTGCATAAGCTGGGAAGTTACTACTAGGAGTTTAGTAACAGGAATAAGTGTCAGCTTTCAAAGTAGCTCCAAAATAAGAAAGCAGCACGGATTCAAAGGAATGACAATCCTTTCACAAATAATACAATTTCCCCAAATAACTGGCATGCTACATTGTTTTATTCACTAAGTGAAACTTAACAGTTAGATAGATCTCCCTTATTATGTGTACTTGAAATGAAAATGAGATGTGGCAGAATACATACAAGACAATTTCTAGAGAATAATGTGGCCTAAAAGTTTACTGAGCATCTGCTTGCATGCTTACATGACTGATGGGTCATAAGTGGGGAACACACTCAGTAATTACAGAGGTCTTTCCTCAAGAATATAAATTACATCTTTATATTACAGCAAACAGTCATATATTAAGTATGTGTCAATAAGTCCACTTTCTTTGAGATCTTAGCGGTGGTTTAGGGAATTTTATTTTGTGGGCTCTATTTTAACGGCCTGCCAGCCTCTAAAACCAGGTGTCTTGGCAAGCAGAAATCTGACTCCACCTGCCTTAGAACAAAATGAAAATTTTAACTAACATAAAGTCAGAAAATCTCTAAGAGTTACCTAAAATAAATTCCCCATACAGGTGACCCAAGATACCCCAAAACTTAGAGGCAAGTATCCTCACTCACTAATTGCAGTTGTACAGAGCTCAACTCGAGACATCTCGATGTTGCAACAAAACAGGCTCTGTCGTAGGTAAGGGAGCAGTGACACAGTTTGAAGCATTTGTGGGGAAAACTGTCATAAATATAGGCGGGTCTTATGATAAACTTTTCTCTAACACACCAAAATTCTTGTCAGTAACAACTGCTTGCTATGTTGGACTGGATTTTCAGTATGTTTCTGGGGAGCCTGCTGCAGAGACAAGCCCCGGCAGCCCAGCTGTCCACATAGCCTGCTGGAGGGACTACCACCTCTCAGTTGGGTCTGGTAGCTCCTAGGCGGAGTCACTGACCTGTGACCACAGGGCTACCTTAGGAGGGAGCCTTAGCTCATGTGGTGTGCTAACTTATCACACAACCAACTGAGAATCCCTTAACAAAATGACCAACTTTTATTAAAAACTAAGAAAGAATATTCCAGGGAGTTTATGGATTAAAACAGCCAGTGTCATCAGCTTCCAAAAGCAGCTCTGTCTCCAAAGCCAGACTTAAATGAATTAGAAGGACACAGCTGGAGACCAGGACAATTTACAGCAATGTATCACCTTCTACTATTCCCTAGTGATCCCAGTCGACAGGAATGCAATAGCTTACATGGACTCCAGCTTAGTCCTTGTGTTTATGGTCCAAACGAGCAAATCCTTTTCTTGCTGAGTTATAAGACAAAGAATATACTTATACCCCATTCTCATGTAAACCATGTTTTTTCCCTGTGCGATACATAACAGCAGTGCAGTACATCACCCCACTTCATCCAAATTGAGGGTGAAATCCTGTCCTTGTTGAAATCCATGGGGAATTTGCTAGTGATTTTAGTGGATGTGGTTTGTGACCCCCCACTAAGTGTCTACATTTCTATTTCTTTTCTTTTTTTTTAATGTCTTCTTAAATGGTAGGCATTGTTCCCTATCTGTCCTACATGTAAAACTGAATGCTGACACAATACAATGAAACTGAGGTCTGCAACCTCTAGACAGAAAAATAAAACCCTCAAAGTAAGAAAAGGGAAAACGCGTTACTTCAGTAAGTTTAATTCTTATGGTTCCAACATTTCAGACTCTGACTGCACATTAGATTTCAAATGCAATTATAACCTAGTTACCTGCCTCTTAACACTTCTGTTGCATATTGTCACATTTCCCCAAGTATCTTCTGAATGCACTTTATGATTTATTCAATAACTGTACAGGTGTTTCCGCTATTAAATTTTTTAACTAACCTCAGTTATAGGTAAGCACATACCTACCTGGACTTTTACATATATAATTATTCAACAATACTAGATGTGAACTAAGGCCCTCCTTTTGACACAACTTGTCATGGGAAATGGTACACATGAAATTTTCTTAAAATTTCAGTGTTTTTCCTAGGTGTGCTACATTTGAAAATGAAGTTAATGAAAAGTAGTCTCGTACTCTCCCAAATTCTGTTACATGAATGTCACTCATAAGAAACCTTCCTGAAATGTCCATACTTGTCTTTCTTGCATGCAGTGAACAACAGTGAAGCAGTTAACAAAACCAATATTTAAGTTATCATAATTAGTTTGCACCTTAAGGTCATAAAGTAGTCCTAAATAAACAGATCACGTAATTGTTTCAGACTTATTGCTTAGGCCTCTCTTCAGACTGACACTGACTTTGCTGCATTGGTTTATGCTCGATTCACATTTCTGTGGTTATCTTTGCAAACACAGAACTCAAAACTTTTGAATTATTTCTAGGTCTAGATTCTGGACCATGGTAGTTGATAGCGGTACAAGCTCAAGAACACTGGGCCTCTTGGATGTCTCAAGTCCTCTGTCCTGCTTTAAGTTTTCAGTGCAAACAGGGAAACCCTCTGGTCAGAAATAGCGCTCTGAAGTTGTCAATTCATAATCTTACTGAAAACTGGCTGCTAGAAATAGCTTCTATGACCTGTTTTTCTTTTAACTTTTGCAGTTATGTCAAAAGATATTTTAGCATGGAAACTACATATCTATTTGGACAGTATCCACTTGAATTACAAATGCAAATATTTATAGCACATCATTTAATACAAATTCATCTTGTCCTTATTTAAAACAAGTTCTAGGTTCTAGTTCCAGCTTTCCCTGAAGAGATTCTTACAGACAAATGCATTACAGGTGAAAAATCAACTGTTACCATCAACTACAGCATCAATATGTCTGTGTGATGGATTCACAGAGAGATGATGCCTGAGGCATAAACCTCAAGCAAATTGCATGGAGGCAGCTGTGTTAGATAAACAAGCTGTGCATTTGAAAATGGGAGAGGGAAAGAAGCAAACACAAAGAAGGTCTGGCAAATTTAGCCCCAATTTATGCAGGTAAACATTTTTCTATTGTTGGATTGGAGGTTAATTTGATTTTCAGATCTGTGTTAGATTTTCCACCTTTTTAATTCACACTATCTTGAATTGCCACAGATTAATCCACTCGTGCCCAAAGCCACAGATGAGTTGTATTCACTGTCATAGCTGTAACATAACTTAACTCAGATTGTCAGACTGTTAATATCTGATTGTGTGCACTATGCACACTTTCAGTTAATCATTAGGTCTGAAGTCTGAACAGAAACTTCTAACAGATATGAATATAGACTTTCTTAAAATCAGGATTCATTATACCTGTTTTCCCTGCTGGGATTTTACTAACATATTTATAATCAGTG